TTTCATTTTGTTTTTGATGAAGAGGACTGAGTGAGAGTATAAGAAGCATAAAAGAATTCCTTCCATTTAGTATTCCTTCGGGAGTTAAGACTGTTTTACTAGAATTTTGATCTCCAGAAAAGTATTTATAGGAAAATCATATGAAAGAATGTTGCTTATAGATAGGTTTCAACGCTGTAAGAATATCAAAAAAATGTTCGTATTTAAAAAAAAGATCATAAAATGGATTTTTCTTCAACATTGACGAGCAAGTTTTATTTCATTCAGTTTCACAATTACATTTTTAATTAGAAGTCTTCAATAAAGAAAAAATATGCTATTATATGTTCACAACGTGTGTTTCGTTCATGGTCATACATATAGATATCTAGCAAATTTATGAAACATCGTAGACAACCATCACTTCATACTTGCACATCATTAACTTATCTCACATGTAAATAAATAATCAACATTTCACAAAAAGTAATATTGTCTAATTATTCAACCAAGTATAACAAATGAAATCTAAATGACATAATAATTAGTTTGATGTGATTCTGAACTATAGTTTGTATTTTAAATTATTAGATAAATGCAAAAAACAATACACAGCACTAATTTTATCTGATGCATACCAATATATCAGTAAATCGAACACCTTTTTGCTTTTGATGCACATGCAATCTCAATAATACTTCTTTTCTTCGCTAAACACATCCATACCTCAACTCGTTTAATTTTTCATTTCATTCTCTCGTTATTTATTATAAAGGATGAAGCATAACGTATTGATTATTCACTAAGGAAGCTATTAGGCACAAGCATGTGTACACTTGGTATATCGTTTAACATCAATCGCTCTGATATTTTTTCTTGCGTATAAACATTTTTGAAACTTACGTATCGATATAAGACATTCTAAAATGTGTTTTTCGCTCGGGTTTTCATCATATTGTGATTTTCTTCTTTTTGATGAGAAGATGTTACAACAAATCATACCGATCGAGAAATTGGTCACATTTCTTGATGGTCGAAAATCGGCCATTAAATAATTATGAGTTGAACTACAGCATTCTGGATGTAGAAGAAAAGAAAAAGATTAAAACAGTCACATTGAGTTCGATGATTCAGTTTTCGGCATTATATTTACTTGGCAATTCGAAAAGTGTATTTCGTGCAACTCTAAAAGAGATCCTTTTTTCTTCAAAGAAAAAAAATTCATGCTGAAATCAAACTAGCCCAATTTCTATTTGTCCTTGTGTCAAACATAACTTGTGAAAAACAGAATCTGCCATCGATTCAGATAGTATAATTTTAACTATAACTATTTCTTTTATAGAGTTTATGGAATAAATTTTTGCACTGTTGCCCATATTTCTATTTTCAATATCTCATGTGATAATTTGATTGCTAATCGATATCGCTACTGGGCAGAACGCATGTTGATCTTCTTAACTTGATCAATTCATTTTGCTATCGCTCTAACGAGAAAATGTGTCTCATCTTATTTATGTATTGATTTGAATTATTTTGTTATACATCAAATAAGTTTAGAAGCAGAATGGAAGAGATAATGAATTGAAAAAAAGACAAAATCTCAATAGATTTAATTTTCATATGAAAGAAAAAATTTAGAACGATTAGAAACGCTATTAGCAGTTATTAGAACCACTTAATGCATTCCATTCTCCATAATTCTTTTTTTGTCGTAATACATACAAAAGCTACTGATATGAATTCCTATTGGTTTCAATCATATATGTGAGTGTGAGTTTAGGTCTTATGTTCGCTCATATACATACCGACATCACTATCAGACTCACCATAAATATTGTAATGATTGAGATCAACTGCTGTAAATATGCCTGTATCCTTTGTTTCAAGTATGTATGAGCGAAAGAGACATGTTTTCGTCACAGTAATGGTCATACGCAGGACATCTTATTACTCAGCATGGTTGAAAAACAAAATTTGACAGATGGCAGAGTCTTTTTATTTTCGTTGACCATCGATAGAACATATTCATTAAGTGTACTGAACCTCATTTGATTTCTCATCTTAGACGAATCTTTGCGATAATTTTGCATCGAAACAATATTCATACGAAGGAAACACTTTCGCATCACATATCGCACAGAAAAGATTATATATCGAACCAGCTGGTGTTCATATTCGTTAAACATTGTAAAAGATCACTAGTGTTCGTTGCACTACATCGTATATGCCGTATCATGTACATAATACACGAGAACACCATAAGAATCAATGCGTTTGAAGAGCAAATACTTTTGTTGACGGTAACGTTTCTAAACATAATCGGGTAGGTAGATGTTCTTGCACTAGCAAAATGCCTCGAAAGATATTTAGAATTTCAGATGCATTTCGATGTGTTTAGAAATGGAACATGTCTCATTTTACACGCATATGAACTTATTTTGATTTGAGACATGTTGAAATCGGTTTACGAAACATGACTAAAATGTGATGCAAAAGTCTTGGCAAAAATGTCAACCTATATTAGACCATATTGCCAGCTTCTAAATTAATCAAGTTTTTGTTTGTTGAAAAGAGCAAAATCTGAACGATCAATTTTTTACCACACTTATTTTTCCTGAACGAATCTAAAAAGCAGAAGAAACCAAAAGTAAACACTTCTTAAAAAGCTCTTGCAACTTTACCTTTACCAATATCATTTTCTATTTTATTTTTATTTTTTAACATTAAAAGCAAAAATGAAAGCGCTGGTTTAATGATGATGACTTATGTAGCCATAAAGAATGCTCTTTCCGATGATATACTCCAAGTTAAATTTGATCGTTTTTTACTACCTAATCGTTTTGTAATAATAAAAGAGGTTTTTTGGATTCTTTTTTTCTGTTAATTTTCTAGAATCTAACGTATGCCAAAAATATAACATACAAAGATTTCACTTCACATTGAGTTTCTGGATATTGTGGTTGATCTTCTTCCAAATGCTTACTTCTTGCAAAAAAACTCTCTTTTACAAAAATTTTAATTTCCTAATGATTTAATTAAAGAATCAAGACCTAATCTTTAAAAAAATTATCACAGCTGATATCGAGAAAACTTTCGATGTGCCATAGTTTGGTGTATTTTTCCTTAGAATTTGATCCACGTAGCTCAAAATAATTGAGAAAAACTTTTCAAGTTTTAAAGACGTTACTAAGACTTTTAAAGAGATGTTCAGTTTTTAGCTTCTCCTACTTCGTAGATTCGTTCCAGAAAAAAAAGGTCTGCTACAAAATTTGTAGTTCAGACTTTGCTCTTTTCGACAAGAAAAGCATTTGATTGGTTTACAATTTGACAATCTGGTCTAACATAGGTTGACATTTTTGCTAAGACTTTTGTGTTACATGTTACTTGCGCTCCGCGAGATCTTCAAAGGCGATTAAATGCATTTTCCAGATCATTTTGAACATTTTGCTTCTGGATGCGTTTTGATTGAAACAAAGACACAGTCAGATGCATCTAGTCTGCGTTTCTCTCTTGTATAGGAGGATGAAATCATGCACTTCAAAATATCCCTCAATACTCTAAATCTTTAGTTGATAATAAGCATAACTTAGTTGTACAATTTCATATTATTCATGAAGAACTTGCTATTTCTTTTCTCCTGCACTCACACCCAAACTAATGGCATTTGACAAAGAAGAAACACATATCACATGTGCACTGATGCTAAATGGATCTCTACTAAAGTTTATCCTTAATCAGTACGAATGTGCTATGCTGGATATGAATTGTACGTGGCCAAACCGATACAACTATAAAGATACTCGTCGTCTCTTCTTAGACTACTTATTGTTTTAATTTAAAGAAAACAGAAAAGAAAAAGAAAGCCATAGACCTCTACACAAACTACTTGTCCATTTTTCATACTGCAAAGGAGTGGAAAATTTTACGGAGTGATTCCATCAAAAATGGGACGAAATACTAGGGCATTTAGCAGTCTTTACTATTCGATCTGTTATGAGCTTCAATAACTGTCAGTCACTGCAACAAATGCTCGTTGGAAAGAACCTGAAATGTCTTAATTACAATCTAAAAAGGAAATTGAAAATGCAATATAAATATTATCCCATTTTTCTTTGAAATAACTGAAAAAGAGAGATTTTGTTTGCTAATTACATGTTATCGACACATAACGAATAATCTATGCAGTAGAAACCCGTATGTATGTCCAGATAAATGATATTGTCAAGCTTTCAGATTTGTTTCTTTCTTTTTTTCGCATATATGGTTTTTTCGTATATCAATACCAAAATCAAAATACACGTCATGACTCATGAGATAGCAAAGGTAGTCTATTCGAGTGAAACATATTCATCCTTCTTTGATTTACTATTCGATATGCTATGACGATATGAATCATTGGACCATTTCCCATATCTTCGTCAGAAAGAAGTCATTCTCTATATTTTTTCTTTTCTTTCTTTGACTACTCATTCATTTTCGTTTCTGGTTCGTTAGACACATAAACAATGTATATCAGGCCCCCGCATGTGACGTGTTTGGAAGAAAACGCCATCGCATGAGTCAAACAAATGTGACTAATCTCATTTCATGGGATACGCTGAGGTTGTTTCCATCCTATCTTGAGTTCTGCTATATATTTAATTCGTTTCTTTCTTTTCATCATCAAAATAACTAGAAACGCTTGTACACTTAAAAAAAAAGAATTTGATTTTTTTTCAATCAATCCAGAGACCATGCCGTTAAATTTTTGTCAAATACCCCAAGATGATTCAATTACACCTATGATATGCAAAACTGCATATGGACTTGTAACAACATGTATTCTTGGAGCTGCTACTTATGTTGGATATCGTATAGGTGCACCAGAAAAGCAGCAAGCTAAACAACATAAAAATCCAGAATTGAATGATCAAATCAAGAAAGTTGTGGATTCATTAAAAATAACTGATGATCAACTAATAGATATAATGCGGATATTAGAAGAAGAAATGAATGTTGGTCTTTCACCATCAACACATAAACACGCTACAGTAAAAATGTATCCATCATATGTACGAAATGTTCCAAATGGAACAGAAATTGGCC